GAGAGTCAGAGAGTCAGAGAGTCAGAGAGTCAGAGAGTCAGAGAGTCAGAGAGTCAGAGAGTCAGAGAGAGAGAGAGAGAGAGATAGAGAGAGAGCGAGAGAGCGAGAGAGCGAGAGATAGAGAGAGAGGAGAGAGAGTGTGAGAGGGAAAGTAAGAGAGAGGGAGCCCTTTCACCACACGGATGCTTGCCTGCTTGCGCGGATGCTGGAGGTGGTGTGTGCAGCAGTATAGCCTTGCACTATTTCGTCACTGGAAAGGACCTTCTTTTTAGTTTTTTGTTGAATATAAGAACTACTAGAGTACACTAATTTACATTATGCACGCAGGGTGTATGGCTCGTGATGCCAGGTGGTGTACAGCAGTAGAGGGCGTCCATATAGGCAGCAGGCCTAAATAAGCATCGAACAAAAATGAATTTTAAAATATTTAGAGAGTTTCGGCGCATACGCCCGACATACACTTTATGCATGGTAAACCTCTTCAGATTCAAAGACCGATTTTCACTCCCCCCCATTGTTTTGTTGTTGTTGTTTTTGTTTTTTTCCCGATTGTTTTCGATATTTTTCAGCATGTAGTCGGATCCCGTTTCGAACGCAAAAATGGCCGACCGGTCACCATGGCTACACCACTTGGCGCAATGACACAATTACACGACAAAACCACTCTCACTTCTAAGCTCTCGCTAACCACTCTCGCTGCATAGACGTCCCCGAGGCATCTACCTTGCGTGCATAATGCAAATTAGTTTCGAATTTTACCACAAAAAAATTCAAAAGAAGGCCTTTTTTAAGGACAAAGTAGTGCAACATTGGTGAGCAATTATTGGCAGAATACTTCTGCTGAATACCACCTAAAGTCATTCTGTGGACGTGCACTATATTGTAGATGCACGCGCGCGCTGGGGAGCTTTCACGAACTGTTTAGTACCGCTGGCCTGAGGCAAGGCAAAGGAAACCGACGGGTTCTGTTTTTTTACCGACGGTTTAATTAAAACAAAGTAAAACGCAAACTGAAAAACATGGCGGATGGACTCGCGGCGTTTGATGAATGATTATTAATGATTAATGCAGTTCCCGTGCTGTGAACGTAGCCTTGAGATCTCAGATGGAGGTTCACTTATACCCGCCGACGGTTTAATTATAAACAAAGTAAAAGGTAAAAGAGAACAAGCGGCGTTTGATGAATGATGAATGATTAATTCACTGCTGTAAACGTAGCCTGTGAAATATTGCTTCGCATTATACGTAATTATTAGCTAATGCATCTCCAGAGAAAACAAAGAACAAGAGAGATGCAAATTTTTAGAACGTAAGTCTTTCTTGTACGTCGGCAGCTAAACTGCGAGTAATTTGCTTATTCCCAGTTCCCAGATTATGAAAACGTATTTATGTATATATATTCATTAATTCATAGATTCATGATAATTTCTGTGTTTTATTCAAAATGAAGCTCGAATAGTCCAATGGGTTATAATAACGTTCAGAAAGTTCGTTGGCGCTTTAAAACGGGTATCACCTACTTCGTATATTAGAAACCTATTTTGCATCTCATCAGCATCTAAAGCCCGGCGCACACGTGAATAATTTTTACTCAAGTAAAATGATGCATGCGTCAATATACTCACGTGTGCGCCGGATTTTCGTTGAGTTTTCTGACGCATGCATCAAGAAACTCAATATCAAACATGTTGGATAATTTTTGACTCGTGCGTCAAAATTTACTCAACACTGGTACTCAGCGCATGCGTTTAAATCATTTTGCGCCCAGTATTGGCTGCGCACAGTCACGTGATCTGCATTACCACTTATACCTTGAGTAATTTTACTCACGTGTGCGGCGGACGCTGAAAATATTTCTAGTAGGTCTCAGGGGAGAGATAGGGATCCGCGAGATGGCGCTTTATTAGTGTATTGTAGCTGCAGAAATCAGTTATCCCTAACCCTAACCCTAACCATAATCCTAACTATAACCCTAACCCTAACCCTAATCCTAACTCTAACCCTAACCCTAACCCTAATTCTAAAATAAAACAAAATTAGCCAAAAATAATAAAATTAAATAAGAGACAAAATTAGCCAATCAGAGCCGTCCCCTAGCGGATCACTATCTCTCCCTTGTGCAAAATTTAAATATTTCGCGTGAGTATTTTGACGCATCAGGGGCGGATCCAGAGGGGGGGGTCGAGGAAGTCCGGACCCCCCCTTTTTACCACAAAAAAGGGGAAAAAAGCATACACACACACGCACGCACGCACGCGCGCACACACACACACACTTCTCTTATATTCACCATAAAAAAATCTTGTTTAGCGCTAGTTTTTCTGATAAAGATTTACTTATATATATGTAGATTTCATTATAAAAACCTAGAAATGGGCAAAGAGGGGTCCGCAGGCGTCCGGGGGAACGGATCTGATAAATGTGTGCATTCTAGACATCAAAATTACTGCTCAGATGCTCTCAGAATGCACCAATTTTTTTAAATCTTGGGGGAGGTCCCCCAAACCCCCCCTTAATGGCCTTCAGCAGCTTTTTAAAACGCCAGAAAAAGTAAGCAGGAAAAAGTGCCCTTTATTTCTTCCTGGACACCCCCTTTTCAAAAATCCTGGATCCGCCCCTGCGCATGCATCAGTTTACTTGTGCGCCGGGCTTAACCAACGTGGAAACATCGCACAGTTATGACGTATAGCCTTCATACCCCCAATATATCAACCAACCACGATTTACACGATTTTTGGGTGTAGAATAGCTCGGATTGGCGAAGCCATCTTTAGACTGTAGCAAAAAAACTATACGACGTGCACATTAGACTTTTGCTTGGTTTTGCTCTGGATACTTAACTGCGTAAGTGCGTGCATTTGTGCGCGTGTTGATGAACGCGTCGAAGAAACGCAGTTGCCCTTCAGACGAGCAAAGGACGATATTTTCCAGCCGCGGCAATTTCTCTCGGTGCAACAGCCTCGGTAATTTGCGAAGTGCTATTACGCGAGTGACTCCTAAATGGCACATTATTATATAGGTGCTGCTGCAACAGTTCGTAAAGATGGCGGAAGTATATTCGACTGCCGAGTTACAGCGTGCGAGTATCCACGATATAGGGTGATACTTCATTAGCAGTGTTCCGAACTTTAATGTCATTAATGGTTAGGGTTATGTTATAGGTTAGGGTTAGGGTTAGGATTATCAATCATTAATCATTAATCATTAATCATTAATGATATCAAAGTTGGGAACACTCCTAATGGAGCGTTAGCCAAGATAGGGCATATACATACAGTTATCACTATTCACATCCTACAATTAAATGCGACAGTTACATCTGTCAAACGGACACATTAGCAGAATTACCTGACAGTGGAACTGAGAAAATTAGTGCCGAAGAATTTTCGTAATCAAATTTCGTAGAAAACCGACCAGCCTGTCACGTGAAATAAACATGTAGCGTAACTATGAAGAGTACAACTCTATTTCTCTCTTAATCAGAGGCAGTTATGCATGTTTTATTACGTCAGCGAGATGAGTATACGGCGCGTCCCTTGGTACGCAGTAAGTAGATGTTAGAGAGATCGATAGCAATAAAGAGAGAGAGAAAAAAGAGAGGGAAAGAGAGCGAAAGCAAGAGCGAGAAGAGATAGCGAGAGAGAGAGAGAGAGAGAGAGAGAGCGTGCGCGCGCGCGTGCGAGAGAGAGAGAGAGAGAGAGAGAGAGAGAGAGAGAGAGAGAGAGAGTGCGTGTGGTCATGTGAAATAAACTTGTAGCGTATAACTATAAAGCGTACAACTCTAGTTCGCTCTTAATTAGAGGCAATTATGCATGTTTTATTACGTCAGCGAGATGAGTATACGGTGCGTCCCTTGGTACGCAGTAAGTAGATGTTTTTATATTAGCCCGGGTGCAGCATCGTCGTTCCATATTGATGTGTTTTTTCACACCACAAGTCTTTGAACGTTAAGTATAATGAATAGCCTAGCCTGAATTAATGATCTGAATCTAATCTAATCTAATCTTATTCTAATCTAATCTGAATCTAATCTTAATCGAATCTGGATCTAATCTAAATCTAATCATATTATCTGAATTCGAATGAATACCAATGACATTATGTCGGCCTGATCATTTGTCTTGGAATGTTTGCTGTCGACCTGGGGCCCGTTGTCAGAAACATTAACCTTAACATTAACTTTTTCTCTTAAAGCGTTGCCAGAAACTTCGTAAAGTTAAGAGAATTAAAAAT